GGGTTTGAGTTTTGAGCTTAAAAAGGAAACTGGAGCGAGGAGAGAATGTTAAACCAAAAACATATAGTTTTAGATGACTTTTTTGAAACCAATGTCAATTATAAAAAAATAAGTTAGACTTTACCCTCGAATTTGTGCGCATGCGTCACCGACGTCAGCTTGGTTTCTCTGTGGTTTGAGTTACCATATCTGTACTCATTGATGATTTTCTGTAGCAAATATAATTGTTTCTAATGGAATTAATTTAATGATGAATAATGTTTAAATGTTTCCATGCCATTAAATGTATTTTTTTGTTCTTTACAATTATTCTTTAATTATCTCATAGCCACTTTATCTAGTAATGACCAATTACTATGCTGAAGATATGAGCCGCGCCACGACAAAACCAAACATAATGGGTTTTGCGACCAGCATGGATCCAGACCAGCCTGCTCATCGGACTGATCAGGATCCATGCTGTTCCAGACCCCTATAACAAGTAAATAAACCGATAGCGAAACAGCATGGATCCTATCAGACTGCGCGGATACGCAGGCTGGTCTGGATCCATGCTGGTCGCAAAAACCATTATGTTGGATTTGTCGTGACGCGGTTCATTTGTTTCAACTGTTTTCTTCTTTAAAGTTATCAAAATACTTATCTCCACAGCAATTTCAAAGGAGTATTACCTAAAGTGCTATAGATAGAAATTCGCCACTGTTGCACCACAAAGCTCATCCAAATTTCCTGTACATGTGACATTTTGCATTCACTGTCTGGGCCCTTTTCTCGTATTCTTTCAATTTGTCACCACAGAAACATTCCTTACCAAACTGAAAATAAAACAGTATTTGAGTCGCGTTATGACAAAAACCAACATAATTGCGTTTGCGACCAGCATGGATCCAGACCAGCCTGCGCATACCGCGCAGTCTGATCAGGATCCATGCTGTTCGCTATCAGTTTTGCTACTTGTAATAGGGTTGGTAAGCGAACAGCATGGCTCCTGATCAGACCGCGCCGGTGCGCAGGCTGGTCTGGATCCATGCTGGTCGCAAACCCATTATGTTGGTTTTGTCATGACGCGGCTCATTTCGTTCTTTTTTAAAAGTAAAATTCATCTTCTTAACATGCAAAATAAAAGCGCTTGACTTGAAATGGTTTCTTCATTTATTGAGTAAACATTATAAACTTAAACTAAATTAATTCTGTAAAAGAAAAGAAATATGCCAGATTTTTAGTTTAGCAATGATATTTGAGCACGTGTCATCTTGCTAATTTGTATTGGGTATTCAACATTAACATGAATTACAATTTGTACGTGTTCAAGGTAAAATTCAAATTCTAGTTGTTTTTTTTTTTTTTTTTGTTTTTGTTTTTTTTTTTTTTTTTTTTGTTTGTTGTTTTTTTTTTAGAGCAATGGAAACGTATATTACAGCAGCATTTTACTTTATTTCGTCACACTTTCTTTTGATAGCTTAATATTGTCTATCAATACTTTTGATAACGGTAAATAAAATTCTTGACATTGGTTAGCTGTTCAGGCATGTTCAATACTTACTGTGATATTATTGAAATGCGTTCCAGGGTAAGAGCAAATATGATTTATTTTATCATAAATGCAAAGATATAAAAATACTTGTTTAAATGAGATTAAGAGAGTGTTTTTGTATTAATATTTATATATAACGTTTTAGACAAAAACCAACACATATACATGTATTGTTAATATGCAATAGCTGGGTCATTGCCTGCAGTTACCAATACTTATTTCATATATAACTATTATCATCAGTTATCTGACTCTTTTATAAAACTGCTGTCACTTTCTTATTCGATATTAGTGAAAAAATTATCAATTTTGGTTTTGTCTTTGTACATATCAATCAATTTACCTCGGTTCCAGAGTATTTGTATCTAAACACTCTGCACAAATCTTTACAACGGTAACTATTGTTTTCCTCCGAGTCTGGAAACTTAACTTCGAGGATTCTGTCTGGCTTATCAAGAAAGCAGCCAATGTATCCATCATTGTAATTCTCTTAAAACAAATACATGTATCTGAACAAGTTATAAATGTTCAAGGGCAAAGAGATGGATTAGGAATTAAATACAATTTGAGCCCCGTCATGACAAAACCAACGTAATGCGTTTGCGACCAGCATGGATCCAGACCAGCCTGTGCATTCGCCTCCGCTGTTCGCTATCAGTTTCTCTACTTGTAATAGTGTTGGTAAGCGAACAGCATGGATCCTGATCAGACTGCGCGGATGCGCAAGCTGATCTGAATCCATGCTGGTCGCAAACGCATTATGTTGGTTTTGTTGAGACGCGGCTAATAATAATATGAATACGTCTAACTGTGGCGTGTAACAAAATATGAAAAAAGTAAAAAAATCAACTCATCTATAATTACAAAAATTTAATTATAATGAAAAATAAGATACATACCAGTAAACCCTGCCATTAACAAGAAGATTAATACACATTTAATGAAATTAAAATTAGGCATTAAAATCTATATCTATGATATTAAACAAAATTGTTTAAAATATCTTCTTCTTTTTATTTTGTCTCAACACAACAGTTAATGTATTATTTATGATACGCGCGAATGTTTAGGCTTAAAGAGAATATATTATTTGTGTTTTAGTCTGTGCCTTTTAGCTGGACTTTCTATTCATGTCTACTCTTATTTACTAAATCAACCAAGAAAATAATATGTATTAATATGTATACATAATCTAGCCAAACCAGCTTGCAATCTTTACTTTCATTTCAAGAAGAGACGTAGCAAAATCGTTTATTTCAATGTGTGAAAACTACATGTACTAGTATATTAAACTTTGTTTAGCCTTAACATTACGGGAAAAGTGGAGTCGGAAACATAGATATCAAATATTTATAATTGTTGTATCCTCGAAATTAATGTCTGATAAATACATCGACTTCATTTAAGGAAATATGAGTGCTTTGATTGTTAATATTTTTGTATTGTATTGTATTGTAATTTAAAATGATTAAACATTTTCGTTATACCTCCAAACACACAATTTTATCGAAACTGAAGTACCGGGGAAATTTAATAAGTTCGTAGAACTGGTTATTATTCAATACAATACAAATATTTTTCTTTTCTTTTTTTTCAAAGCATCGTAAAACTTTGTTAGTTGAATAATAGCAGTCGTTCAGTCAACATGTTTATTTATTTGCTCTTACTTTTGTTTAAAAACCTGTCACCAAAGGCAGAAATGGAAATTGTTGAGTTCAGAGCAGTCATGATTAAGTTCCTTGCTGAGGCGGACTAAACGCCAAATCATCGTGCATGAATGATGTGTATGGTGATAGCAGCAGTATTCGACAGTGACAAAGTGGTCGGCATAATTTGTGGGCGAGACTCCTCAGGTCAGGAACGTCGCCCTGCAAATGTCACCAGCCGTAATGAGAAACTAATCAAGTCATAAATTTCATCTTCACAGTAAAGACATTAATTGATGACTGAATGTCATAATTAAATTGGTCAACTAATGGTTTTATCCAAAGCATCGTTGTGTACAACTATATGAAGGCCATTCATTCATGAATAAAAAGGTATAGCCAATTATAGCAAAATCGAGAAAAAATCAAACATTTGAAGGTCATTTATGAGTCAGGGTCAAGTTCAATCTAGTCTACTTAAATGTCTTGTCCAAAGGGTTGTTGTATCCAAGTATAAGGGCAGTCTATTCAGAAATGATTAAAAAATATAATTGTGAACATTAAAATTTCTGGACAGCAATGGAAGCGGCAACGGTAACCGGAACGACAGCCATACTGTAACCACAGCTCGAAAACTTTCTTCGGAAGAGTCGAGCTAAACTCGGCGACTGTTATATATTTAGGAAACATTTTCACTTATTTTCGAGTGCATTTAACTCACTACTTCTTCTGGTCAGATGTTAGCAAATATGGTAGCACTTGTCCGCCTAACTTTCAAGTGATTCTTCAGAATCCTAAATTTGAGTTTGAGTTGACTCATTTGATATCCCTGCGATATGGGCTATCTGGGTAAGTAAAGTCATCTCAGCTATTGGTAGACTTGACTTTATGAATGTTTTTATCAGTACCAGCCTTACAGACATCTTTAAATGACTCATTTACTGCATTATCCCTGAAAGAGCTGCATATATTAACATGCTTCATTGTTGTCATAAATTACAAATATCTTTCTAATTTTTATACAGATCTTCCTAGTTTTGCTCGAGAACAGTAAGCCCGTATTTCAACACTTTTGAAGCAGCATGCCTTCAGATTCATATGTTAATTGTTATGATAATTTTGAAAATGTATTTAAAAGTAAAATTTTGTGAAGTGAACAATGAAAATTATTTACAATTGCAAACGACATGCAACTCACGTAAACTACCAGAAACGCGTCAAAATTAAATATGCAAAAAATAGCATTATTGTGTAAGTCACGCAGTAGAAATAATTATGGTGATAAATACTGCATTAATTATCAGTCAGTTATTGCGAATATTTTAGTCTTTTTGCTTTTCTTGAAATATTGGTCCTTTTTCAAATTTGATTTTCCAGTCCAGCATTTTTGCTCATTTCGCATGCAACCTTAATTGAGCGTTTAGTAGAACTTTTTTCTGCTTCTATTTTAGATATTGCAGTTTCTGTTTGAGCATTGTATCAATTGTTCAATATAAAATGTTAGTAAAACAATACCTTCAAAGTTATTCCGATGATCAATTATGTTTGTAACAATGTATTTCAGTAACTTACTTTGAAAGATTTTAGTATACAAACGAAGCGAAATGGTGTGGGTAAAATAGAGAAAATAAGAATCCCTCAAAGAAAGTCCAACACGGCAAAATTGGAAATGTTGCAGGCTCGGTTTGATTGAGCCAGTTCATAGACGGTACGGTACTGTAAAGTGCAAACTACCGTCCACTCCCCTCTGTCACCGGCTTAAGCAGAATTCAACATTTAACATGAACTGGTACAATTTGGAATTTTGAAACATCCGTTGATGTTTCCATGAAAAACCGGCATATGGTCCCCAAGAAAAAAGAATGCGTGTAAACAATGGGCGGAACTAATTACAAAAGGGGATCAGAGGTTACGAAGCCTGCATATCACAATTAATACGTCAAAAGACAAATTTAAAAAGCAAGCAACATATCCTAAGTGTGATTCAACATTATTCAAGTAGTAATATATTGGAACCACCCTACTAGGAAATGCCGAAAAGTTAAAACTAAAAATACCACACGCATAACAATTTAATGTCGTGCTGAACGATCTTTTAAAATCGGAAAACTACCCCACATTTTGTCAAAAGTATTGAACATTTAAAGCAAACCATAGAAAACGTTGTTAATCCGACATTTTTTATTTATTTTTTATTTATTTTTTTGTGTGAACCAAATAGAAGAATGGCTGACATATGTACATGTAAGCCTACGGTAAACAGGTTCAAGAAGGTGAAAGAAGGGCTTGGAGGAATCTCCTAGATGCGGATTTTATAAATATACATAAATATATATATTTTTTTTTAAAGATATATCATTACACGTTTCGTACATATCTAACCATTTCGCATTACTCACCTTGACGCGGATAAAGAAATTTCGTTCTTTAACAATGTCCAACAAAACTAGTGACGTAGTTCACATGCAGTGTACAAATTGCGGACAAATTGCACATTGTTGTGACAATTTCTCGGACAATTTGCTTTAAAATAGACAGCCAGTATGGCCGATGATGATCATGATATGGACAAGTATTATTATAATATTGATCTTTAATTTTACTTCGCTTTTCACCATCTTTAAGTCAATAAACGGTTTTTTCATATATTTTGGCTTATTCGTACTTAAATCTACTCGTATCAGTAAAGTGCGATTTCATTAAACATTAAGTGCGATTTCATTAAACACTTAACATTAAGTGCGATTTCATTAAAGTTTCATTTATGATACTAAGGTGTTGCTAGATAGTGATGTCTTTGAAAACTCGTTGGAAGTGACAAATTGACACATCGCAACTTTTCAAATTACAAGATAACGATAAAAGCTTAGGTATTCAGAATCCGGGTCAGCTCGGCCCTAAAACTTACTCGGTCCCCCGAGTCAGCTCGGCCCTATTACAACTAGGCACAGATCAACTTGGCCCACTTTTTAATTATTAATATTTAGGTTTGTGTTATCACTTTTTATTGTTATTATTGTATCCCAGTCATAGAATTGATTGTTCGGGAGTAACATGTAGATGTAGATTATTTATAAAACACGGATTGACAGTTTCAGAACTAGCAGCAGACAGGCTTTTCTTATCAGTAGAATTGCAAGTGAAGTCTAAAGTAGTAAAGATAACTAACCGATTGCGTATCTCACTGTATTTCTGACTTGTGGTAGGTTTAACCCTATATTTAAATACCTTCAGTGTCAAACAATGTGTTGAAATATATACTGAGTGGGAGGAAGCTAAGATCACCAGCTTTTAATTGGTGTAACAAATTTTAAAATCGGACATTTAATGGCCCCAAACTAGCGATTTAAACACGGCTAAATTTGCATTCTTTTGCAAGCGAAGGGAAACTAAGGGAAACAAGTCTTGCTTTTTCACTCAATATACCTCGGTTATTTACGTAGTTCGACAGAGAGAGTTTATAAATATAAGACAAATATATGAAAAAGAATTTCTAAATATACTTTATTTCCAGAGAAGTACAATGTATAATTATATAATAATAAGATATTTCTTATTATTCATTTACCTTAACAACATGCAAAGCAAAGTTAATACATAATGTAATATATCTTTTTGTAAAGAGGGCGGAGTTGACCCGTGCCAAGTTGACCTGTGCCGAGTTGGTATAGTACCGAGTTGAGTCTTTTCCATTCTTATTAATGTCAAATCATCTGCTTTTTATGGTTCAATCATTTTTGTCTTGAGTTTTGGACCTTTTATAATTTTTAGCTCACCTGTCACAAAGGGTGAGCTTTTGTGATTGCTTTTCGTCCGGCCGTCCATCGTCCGTCCGTTAACTTTTGCTTTAAATGACATCTCCTCATAAACCACTGAGCCAATTTCATCCAAACTTCACAGGAATGTTCCTTTGGTGGTCACCTTTTAAAATTGTTCAAAGAATTTAATTCCATGCAGAACTCTGGTTGCCATGGCAACCAAAAGAAAAATCCTTAAATATCTTCTTTTAAACAACCCTAAGAGCTAGAGCTTAGATATTTGGCACGAAACATCTTCTAATGGGTGTCTACCAAGTTTGTTCAAATAAAAGCCCTGGGGTCCAAATAGGCCCCACCCCAGGGGGACATTGATTTTCCCTATATGCATAAAGTAAAAACTTAAAAAATCTTCTTTTAAAGAGCCCAAAGAGCTAGAGCTAAGATATTTAGCATGAAACATCTTCTAGTGAATGTCTACCAAGTTTGTTCAAATAAAAGCCCTGGGGTCAAAATTGGCCCCGCCCCGGGGGGTCATTGATTTTCCCTATATGCATATAGTAAAAACTTAAAAAATCTTCTTTTAAAGAACTGTAAAAGCTAGAGCTTAGATATTTGGCATGAAACATCTTCTAGTGTATGTCAACCAAGTTTGTTCAAATAAAAGCCCTGGGGTCAAAATTGGCTCCGCCCCAGGGGGTCATTGATTTTCCCTATATGCATATAGTAAAAACTTAAAAACTCTTCTTTTAAAGAACCCAAAGAGCTAGAGCTAAGATATTTAGCATGAGATATGTTCTAATGTGTGTCTACCAAGTATGTTCAAATAAAAGCCCTGGGGTCAAAACTGGCCCGCCCCGGGGGTCATTGATTTTCCTTATATGACTATGTGTATAGCAAAAACTTAAAAATGTACTTTGAAAAAACCCAAATAGCTAGAGTTTAGATATTAAGCATGAAACATCTTTAAGTAAATATCTACAAAGTTTGTTCAAATAAAAGCCCAGGGGTTAAAACTGGTCCTGCCCGAGGGGTGTCATTGTTTTTAACTATATGTGTATAGTAAAAACTTAAAAAATCTTCTTTTAAAAAACCCAATGAGCTAGAACTTAGATGTTTTGCATGAAACATGTTCTTATGGGTGTCTACCAAGTCTGTTCATGTAAACAAATAAAAGATCTTGGGTAAAAATTGGGCCGGGGGTTAGGGGGGGGGCTATATACAGGTGAGCGACCTCATGGCCCTCTTGTTATTTTTAAAGTTTGTCTGGACTAATTCTCTTATACCACAAATGGAATTTCAATGAAACTTTACTGGCTTGATCAGAAACTAAAGTTCTTGTGCTTATTATACAGGTTTTTCAGGTTGAATGATTTACGACTATCATAAGGCGTCACATGTGATCACTGATCATCACTATGGTCTTATAATGGTATAAATTTTAACATTTTGCTTTCAGTTTTGATGATGACTTGGATGATGTTGATGATGATGAACCTTTAGATGAACATATACAATCTCAGGAGGTTTGTGCTAAGTATTCAGTATTTAATTACATTTCTTATACAGTCAGCATCGTACTTGCTTCCACCTTTATTAAGCGACTTTTTATTAAGCGGCAACATAAAATCCCTCCCAATAATTTTTACTTTGTAAGTTAATTCCATTTAACAACATTTTGATATCGTGGCCAGCATCCACAAAATGTCGACGAAAATATACGAAATTAGGTGTTAAGTATCTATTAAAGGACCGTCACAAATAAAGTGTCGTTTAAAATCTAATTGAATAACAATTGGAATCATTTCAAAATAGGAAAGAAACAGTTTACTGATCGTAATATTTTTTGTGACATTTTGTCAGAGCAATAATGTATCACAACACCGCATTTGCACATTTTTGTCATGTGCTCAGAGTGACCTCCCTTCCAGAAAATCAAATTAAAAATAACGTTGGAATTAGCGGAAAAAGTTACACACAGCTAAAAAGACCGGATGAATGGAATAAGGAAATCATGCATGGAATTGGGTATGAGTAATATCAAATGTCATCGTTTGTAGTCATAAAAAAATCGTGAAACGTAGTGGTTTAAACATTACAGAACCCAGCCTGAGGGTGTAGGTGCTCATCTGATGCTTTATAAAATACATGTACTACCCCAATAGATATAACCCTTAGACAAAAGTTTTTTTTAAAAGTCCTAGATCTCTAAAAGGCTTATTGAATTTGAAATCATGTAGCGTAAAAACTAATTGCTGAAAAAATCAAGAAGTTTTTAACAATAATTGCATGAAAAATTATCTAGAGCTTTGGCTGCTGATTTGAAAGTATGCTCAGCAGGAGACCTCACTGACGGGAATATCTAGCTTTCGGGTAACTGTTTAGCGAAAGTCAGCAGAGCCTCGTTACCAACCTTTTACAGTTACCCTCAAGTAATATATTCCAGTCTGTACCGGCAGCCAGTGTAAGATCCTTACAGTCTATTATACCAAAACTAAACAGAAGAGACATGTTATTTACAGGGAGATGGTCAGATGGAGATTCTGGCCGCAGAGGCTGGCCAACCAACTGAACCAGCTAGAAGGATCACCACACCATACATGACCAAATATGAAAGGGCAAGAGTGTTAGGAACAAGGGCTCTGCAAATTGCGTAAGTCTTTTGTGGGTTTTTTTGTGGGTTTTTTCCTGCTTTTGAGATTTGATCAGTTTGACGAATTCTGTATGTAGGATTTACTCCATTTATCATTCCATATAACATTATGTGTTGTAATAGTCTATGAAAGTCTTAAGGGACTTAGCTTGGTATATACAAATTTAGTTATGTTAAGGTCCAAATCAAGAGTGGAGGGGGTTATGGGACTGGATGCATTTTGATTTTTGTCTGGATTGTAGGAGGTGAAATTTGGTGTATATCAAGTAAAAGGGGATTATTAAAAATTGCAAGTACATGTATATCAGTTTGTACATTTATATAACATGTAACATTCACTATAGAGGCACATCATAAATTCTTTTTTCTCAAGTGAATAATATTATTGTTAGACAAGCTTTGTGTTTGATATTGATTTACCTGTATTGGGATCCTACATATTACCAGACAAAATATGATCTTTTAAAAATGGAATTTTACCCAAATAATTTTGGGCTCTTAATACACGTGAACATTCTTTTATCAAAAATGAAATTAAACATTTGACCGTAGAAATGTGTCTTATAAGTATGGCAGTATAAGAGGAGAAAAACCGTGTAGACAACTCAATTTACCGGACATTGTGTTTCAAATTGTTTTGAAGTTGTGAATTGAAATTAATCTTTAAATAATCAGCAAGGAAACTTCGACTATTGAATGGCAAGGTTATGATACTGGAAAACCCAGTATGTCACTAAAATAGACACGGCAGCCATGCTTGTTAGGAAGAGGTGTAATTGAAATTAAAACTATTAACCCAATTAATGTATTGATTCCTTATGATCTTTATAAACATATGAAACATTTTGATATTCAAATGGAATCCTGTACTTTGTCAAAAAGTTCCCTTTTGGTCATCATGTAACATGTTGCAAAAGCCATAAAATCTATTTTATTTACATTTCATGTAGTTTCCTCCCATGGGCACAATCCATTTCCTTATATGTTTTTTAATTTGCATTTCTTTGTAAAAGACAGAAACGAGGTACTGTTTGAACTAAATTTAAAAATACTTTTTATCATTAAAGTATGCTATGATTGTCTCCCGAGATAACGTTGAGAAGAATCTATCTAAAATAACACATTAATGGCTTAAATATTCGAGCATACACAAAACACATAATTCCTCCGCATGACAAGGTATGAAATAAAATAGTCAACAAAAGGGCATATAATTCAATAAAGAAATGAATCAACAATATTTACATGAGAGTGGTCTTGTTGTTATTTACTTTGAAATAATTAAATATGTAGGATTCCAGTAGACTGACATTAAAATGTTGGGCCATTCTTTTTCTATTGACACAATTTAAGATATGGTATATATGACTTTTGTATCATAGTTTGGAGACCATTCTGTTGAAAATGTGTCAGGGTTAAATCGTATACATATACATGCACAGTGCGTTAACTGGAGTGCGGTTATTAGTTACCCGCAATCCAGAGCATGCCCATTAATTGGCTCATTTTTGCTGGGGTTTACATATTGTGACGGCAGAGAAAGGGAAAGCGACAGAAATATCATATTCAGATGTTCGTTCGTTCATTTTTGCCAGGGTTTCATATTGTGACAACAGGGAATGTGTTTTTATGTTTGACTATGATACAAATGAGAAAGAACACCAAAACACTCGGCAATCTGATTAATACTTGGGGGCTGGGCCCCCTCGTACAAATCAGATAACCTCGTGTTTCGGTGCTCTTTCTATTACTTATTACCAAATGTAAAGATTCAAAACTTTAAAACAAAACTGATAAAAATAGCCGGGTAAAAGGAATGACATGATGCCTTTTCCAATTTACATTGCAATTATTTATAAGCAAAACAATTTTTAATTATTGAAGAAAAATAATCTACCGGTTTCACCCAATAAACAGATCTTCAAGATAGTGGCGTTAAGAATTTCACTTGGTAATGACGTGAATACAACGTAATGGGATGTCACTTTTATAAGGGGACATAATAATAAGTTTTAATAATATAATTAATATATATAACAAAGTTATTTTGAATTCAATCCTGTTTTTAAAATGTTTATCAATACAGTTTCTTTCATTCTTCATTTGGATGTATCTTGTTCTTGCATTTTATAGATTGGCATTACATGTAAATTAAACTTTTGAAATACGTCTCTTGAGCAAATGCCTTTATTATTATATATATATGGCTATGTGGTGACTGACTGGTAATAATGCATTGTCCAGATTTAGTTAATGTTGGTTATGTAATCATTGTTTGTTTGCTTGATTGGGTTTTACGTCACACCGACACAGTATAGGTCATGTAATCATTGTAATGTTTCTTGATTTCTTAAATTTGAAGATTCTCTAAATTGGAAAAGGCATCGCTTCATTCTTTTTTCCTGTGACTTTACTTGTAAGATATGTAAAACCAAATCAGAAAAAATAGACATTATGTATGGAGTGTGAAGTTTGTATAATATTATGGGGAACATTATTTATATATTGTCAGAACACATAACATAATCTATGGTGTACAATTAGAGACATACAACATAGAACAATAACATATTGACCCTGTAACACATGTATGCCAGTGTCAATCATTATATGGAAATATACTGGGCAGAAATTTTGATTTTTGTTGAAATATAAGGCATGGTATGCACCTATTTACTGAAAAGGTAAGAAGTGGTAGTGTACTTAACCCTTTTCCTAAAAGGTCAAGTTTTGAAAACTGCACTTATGTCTTTCTGTGACATTAGCCAATTTAATTTTATTAAGTTTATTATTTTTATTATTTAAGTTTCCTAGGACAGGATCAAGGAATAGGAGTTTTGTACATGTATGTAACTGCAAAATAGTGTATGACTGAAATACTAGTAAACTGGGAAAAAATTTATTAATTTTTAGACATACTCTTCTCCAAATTGATAAATATTTATTTTAGTTTACAACCAATATCTTTTATACATTTAAAACTTTTATACATTTAAACATGTGTTGTCATCTGAAATACATTCTAAATTCTGAGGACTCGAGAAACTTTTTATAGAATTAAAATGATTTTAATTAGATACTTTACATGTAACTGTAATATTTGCAGGATGTGTGCCCCTGTAATGGTTGAGTTAGAAGGAGAGACAGATCCACTTGTTATTGCCACAAAAGAATTAAAGTAATAAATATCATTTTATATTATATTATCATGGAAACAAGCTTTTAGTTATACCCTTGAAAGCATTTGTTTTCTGTATAAATCAGTTCTGCTACATCCAGGGTTTTTCAGATATTTTGAAAGTGCACCTGTATATTATTGAGAGGTTAATACATGGTTGCTGCTCGCCATTATGCGATAATGGCCAGAAGATGTGCATATTGGCCTGAGGGCCGCAGGCCGGAAGGACATAATGGGCTCAAGGGCCATTATCGCATAATGGCGAGCAGCAACCAAGTATTAACGTCTTTAATACCTATGTCTGAAATACTGCATTTAGACATCACCACTAATCTTGGTTGTCCCCCTTTCTTAGAAACAGACAGTTGTCAATGTACTGTAAACAAATATCTATCATTCAATTATCTAAGAAAACACGTTAACATAAAATAATTATGATAAAATGATGTTTATATCTATTAACACTCTTTATATTCATATTTTATGTGAGAATAACACTTTTTAGTGCAAGTTTTTATGAACTTTTGTTCTTTCGAGAATTATTTCTGATGTCTAGCTCTAAATGCCCCCAATCTTTTTTTTTCAACCGTCAGTCTGTAATCATTTTCGGAATTTCTGAGGATCATGTTTGTCTTCGGTACAGTAGGAGTATGGATTTTTAGCTCACCTGTCACAAAGTGACAGGGTGAGCTTTTGTGATCGCTTTTCGTCCGGCGTCCGTCCGTCCGGCGTCCGTCCGTCCGGCGTCCGTAAACTTTTACTTTAGATGACATCTCCTCATAAACCGCTGAGCCAATTTCATCCAAACTTCACAGGAATGTTTCTTTGGTGGTCACCTTTAAAAATTGTTCAAAAAATTTAATTCCATGCAGAACTAAGGTTGCCATGGCAACCGATAGAAAAAACTTAAAATATCTTCTTTTAAAGAACCCAAAGAGCTAGAGCTAAGATATTTAGCATGAAACATCTTCTAATAGGTGTCTACCAAGTTTGTTCAAATAAAAGCCCTGGGGTCAAAATTGGCCCCGCCCCAGGGGACATTGATTTTCCCTATATGCATATAGTAAAAACTTAAAAAATCTTCTTTTAAAGAACCCAAAGAGCTAGAGCTAAGATATTTAGCATGAAACATTTTCTAATAAGTGTCTATCAAGTTTGTTCAAATAAAAGCCCTGGGGTCAAAATTGGCCCCGCCCCAGGGGGTCATTGATTTTCCCTGTATGCATATAGTAAAAACTTATAAAATCTTCTTTTAAAGAACCCAAAGAGCTAGAGCTAAGATATTAAGCATGAAACATCTTCTAATAGGTGTCTATCAAGTTTGTTCAAATAAAAGCCCTGGGGTCAAAATTGGCCCCGCCCCAGGGGGTCATTGATTTTCCCTATATGCATATAGTAAAAACTTATAAAATCTTCTTTTAAAGAACCCAAAGAGCTAGAGCTAAGATATTTAGCATGAAACATCTTCTAATAGGTGTCTATCAAGTTTGTTCAAATAAAAGCCCTGGGGTCAAAATTGGCCCCGCCCCAGGGGGTCATTGATTATCCCTATATGCATATAGTAAAAACTTATCAAATCTTCTTTTAAAGAACCCAAAGAGCTAAAGCTAAGATATTTTGCATGAAACATGTTCTAATGAGTTTCTACCAAGTTTGTTCAAATAAAAGCCCTAGGGTCAAAATTGGCCCCGCCCCGGGGGTCATTGATTTTCCCTATATGCACATAGTAAAAACTTATAAAATCTTCTTTTAAAGAACCCAAAGAGCTAGAGCTAAGATATTTAGCATGAAACATCTTCTAATAGGTGTCTATCAAGTGTGTTCAAATAAAAGCCCTGGGGTCAAAATTGGCCCCGCCCCAGGGGGTCATTGATTTTCCCTATATGCATATAGTAAAAACTTATAAAATCTTCTTTTAAAGAACCCAAAGAGCTAGAGCTAAGGTATTTAGCATGAACCATGTTCTAATGGGTGTCTACCAAATTTGTTCAAATAAGAGCCCTGGGGTCAAAATTTGCCCTGCTCCGGGGGTCATTGATTTTCCATATAAGTGTAAAGCAAAAACTTTAAATTAAAAATTCTTTGAAAAAAAACAAATAGCTAGAGTTTAGATATTAAGCATGAAACATCTTCTAGTGAGTGTCTACAAAGTTTTTTCAAATAAAAGCCCTTGGGTCAAAATTGGCCCTGCCCCGGGGTCATTGATTTTATTTATGTGTAAAGCAAAAACTTATAAAATATTCTTTGAAAAAACCCAAATAGCTAGAGTTAAGATATTTAGCATGAAACATCATCCAGTTAGTGTCTTCAAAGTTTGTTCAAATAAAGCCCTAGGGTCAAAATTGGCCCTGCCCCGGGGGACATTGATTTTCCTTATATGCGTATAGCAAAAACTTAAAAATCTTCTTTAAAAAAAAAAAACAGAATAGGTAGAGTTTAGATATCAAGCATGAAACATCTTCTAGTGAGTGTCTCCAAAGTTTGTTCAAATAAAAGCCCTGGGGTCAAAACTGGCCCCGCCCTAGGGGTGGGTGTCATTGCTTTTAACTATATGTGTATAGTTAAAACTTGAAAAATCTTTTTTTTTAAAAACTCAACGAGCTAGTCCTTAGATGTTTAGCGTGAAATATCTTCTAATGGGTTTCTACCAAGTTTCAAATAAAAGCCCTGGGGTTTAAACTGGCCCCGCCCTGGGGGCCTTTATACAGGTGAGCGACTTCAGGGCCATCATGGCCCTCTTGTTTGTCTTGAGTGTATTAATCTTTAATGTAAGCTTGTTGATTGCAATTGATTGTGTCATCTAAACTTAAGTTTCTATGTGCAAGTGACTATATGTAGTTCATTCAACGTCAGCAGCCATCTTTGAAGTCACTGACAATTGATTAACTCATTTTGCATGTGCGCTCATTCACTCGCCCATTATGGAAAAAAAATGCCTAGTAGCAAGGCGGCCAAAATTGCAAAATGACCTAGATCTTGCCGCAATGGCCTTGCAATACCCTAGATTTTGTTATTACTATATATAGTAACATAGGCATTAAATTAACATAATAGGAATGACCAAGTTATAAGTCCCCTTTTGGTGTAACTGAAGGGGACTTTAATTTACCCTTAGTCCGTCTGTGCTTACAAACGTATATATATATATATATATAAGAACACAAAAAGATTTAAGTTCATTTATGTCATTCATTCATTCAATGGCAATGGCCCTTTAAAATGTTGCTGGGGCTCTTATTGGTAGCGGACTTATGGGTTGCTTGCAATACTATGATAATTGCTTGTTTATTGTTAGAATACCGGGTGTATTATTCTTTGAAGTTAAAAGCATACAGGTTTAATCATTTTAGGGATGTATAAAGTAGTTAACTACCAAAGCAGCTTAACAGCAAAAAGGGAGATTATTTTACCGACAAATAGTGTGGAAAGCTTGATTATTTAAATTCTAACCTGAAGTGTAAAATCATTTTGTTTTTCTGCAATGAGTAAAGAGCTGGCGCAGACTGCATGGACATAAAAGCTGACTTTCCTCAATACTAGAGGCAAAGATTAAACACTTCTAGTTTCAGGAGGTGAAGTATGAACTCATCAACTGTTTTATATCTGTTGAAAATTTATTTACTCCAGACTTTTAATTAATTTTTTTAATAATAGTACCATCTGTATACCATAAGGTTAAAGCAGTGAATTGTAATAAACATATTGTTCTCCTTTCAGAGCAAGAAAAATTCCAATGATAATCAGACGCTATTTACCGGATGGCAGTTTTGAAGACTGGGGCATTGATGAACTTATTATTACAGAATGAATTTTAATATTAGTGACATAAGGGCAAAATCTGGTAAATTTTCAAGGACAACACACTAACCCGAGACTAAGTGATAAATGTTTAATGATGCATACGATTAAAAAAGAGTCACAAACTTGTAAAAGGCATCTTCAATTAAGAAACATGGTCAAGATTTCAATTAACATGTTTAAATGATATTTAAAGATTACAAATATCAGTATGTAAATTTGGTTGATGGCTTGTGCTGGCACAGTAAGATAGCCAGATTCAGTTAACTGGTGATTTTATCTTATTTTTCATTGTATAAACCATTTTCATTTGTTTTGAATTATGTTGTATAATAAATGAAAATAATCGTAATTTGTGATTGTTAATTATAATACGATGATAATTCGTAAACATATCATAAGCTCATTAGCATGAGTCATTTTAGCTCACCTGTCATAAAGTGACAGGGTGAGCTTTTGTGATCGCTTTTCGTCCGGCGTCCGTCCGGCTGTAAACTTTTACTTTAAATGACATCTCCTCATAAACCACTAAGCTAATTTCATCCAAACTTCACAGGAATGTTCCTTTGGTGGTCACCTTTAAAAATTGTTCAAAGAATTTAATTCCATGCAGAACTCTGGTTGCCATGGCAACCGAAAGAAAAAACTTTAAATTAATTCTTTTAAAAAACTCTAAGAGCTAGAGCTTAGATATTTGGCATGAAACATCTTTTTGTGAGTGTCTACCAAGTTTGTTCAAATAAAAGCCCTGGGGTCAAAATTGGCTGCACCCCGGGGGTCATTGATTTTCCTTATATGTGTATAGCAAAAACTTAAAAATTCTTCTTTGAAAAAACCCAAATAGTTGGAGTTTAGATATTAAGCATGAAACATCTTCTAGTAAGTGTCTACAAAATTTGTTCAAATAAAAGCCCCGGGGTCAAAATTGGCCCCGCCCCGGGGGTCATTGATTTTCCTTATATGTGTATTGCAAAAACTTAAAAAATCTTCTTTGAAAAAACCCAAATAGTTGGAGTTCAGATATTAAGCATGAAACATCTTCTAGTAAGTGTCTACAAAATTTGTTCAAATAAAAGCCCTGGGGTCAAAACTGGCCCGCCCCAGGGGGTCATTGTTTTTAACTATATGTGTATAGTAAAACTTAAAAAATCTTCTTTTAAAAAACCCAATGAGGTAGAGCTTAGATGTTTAGCATGAAACATCTTCTTATGGGTGTCTACCAAGTTTGTTCAAATAAAAGCCCTTGAGCTATCAACATGAAACTTTGTAGGTAGATAGATCTAATTGAGTAGGAATGCAATGCTCAAGAACTGTTACTCTGCCTTGCCTAATTTTTTTGAATTATTCCAATTGATTATTTTACACTTTGAACTTTGTCCGGGACATAAGTCTTAAACTCAAAGAGGTATCAACATGAAACTTTGTAGGTAGATAGATCTAATTGAGTAGGTGTGCAATGCACAAGAACCGTAACTCTGCCTTGCCTTATTTTTGAATTATTTCACTTTGATTATTAAGTCAGGTTAAGTAGGTTTTCAGTGCACAAGAACCGTTGCTCTGTCTTGCCTAATTTGAGAGTTATTGCCCTTTGTTCATTTTGACACTTCAAACTTTGTTCAGGACATTACTCAAAAATTATAAGAGATATCATCAGGAAACTTCATAGATAGATAGATCTCATTGAAAAGAAGTGCAGTGCAAAAAACATAACTCCGTCTTGCTTAATTTGGAGTCTTTGCCCTTTGTTTATTTTTCTATACTTTCCTGTGTCCAAAACCTTCTTGTGGAGCATCAACCGGTTCAACAGGTTCTTCTTCACTATAACTTTCATTTCTTAAAGGGGCAACATTCGCTGCTGCGGCAGCGAGTTTTTCTGGGTGTGACTAATCAGTGATGTAAAACTGTCTGTTATAAACCCTGAACTATAAATAGCATGCAGTGTTAACCTGCAGAGAGAATGTAAACAAAAACAGCTGATTTTACACTGGAGAGGTTTAATGGATGTTTTATATAACTCAAAGATTAATTAAAGACATCAAGTCATCTTGTCCAGATATTATTTTTGAAGTCAGTTGTTTTTCTTTTTTTTCACTGGAATGCTGTATGTGTCCTTCATCAAGTCAGATAATTATATCAAAATCCAAAAGATGTGCCTAATACATGGGGCATTTCTTTTAGGAACAACCTGCTAAAAATGTTCTTGACAGGAATTTGAAATATTTTTAAACTGTTAATGTATAAAATTGTATGCATATGCAACATTTAGTTTGATTAACATTTGTGAAATGTAATTTTTGACTACAAGATATTTACAACAAAATATAGTGTAAATGAAATATACCTGGAAGTTACTTTTACTGTTTTAATGAAGTTTAAACCATTCAAATACAAGTTAAATCAGTACTTTGAAATTTAAAAAAAAATCATAGATTAATGGATTATTGTAAATTTGTTGGATTTGATAAAGCAAGTCAGTAAAAGTTATTGTTTTATTCAGCATTGAAATGTGTCGTCTGCTGAAAATCTCCCTCCCTGAAATATACATAGTCTGCTACAAATCTCTCTCCCTGAAATAAACACTGCCATGTGCTTCTGTTTACTACTGAAGGTTCATGACCTGTAATGATCACATGGCTCCTCCCAGGGAAATTCAAATTTCAAATTTGACAGCCAGTATTTTTTTCCAGAAATACACTTTACAAAGTTATATTTGGAATAATTTTGGTCAATCTTTATCAAAAATATCTATGCCTACAAACATGCCAATGTTATTTTAATGCATTTGGTAATTAATCTTAAATCTTTGAAAAAGGGTCCCAGAAGTGAAGCATGCATAAAATTAATAAGAAACCTGCCCTAGCGCCATCTGCTGGCTTTTATAGTCCAGTTGGGCATTTAAAGTTATATTCCTGGTCAAATTCATCAAAACAGATTGTCAAATTAACGCTTTATTGTTATCAAATGCATTATTTAACTAGTAAATTAATTAGGCTATGAGGATATAAGCTACATTCTTTAGCTAATAAATAGCTTTTCATATCGTTTATTAATTACAAAACATAAAATAAAATTGCATCCCTCATTTATATTATATCTCCTAATATCGGGGTCGCCAGTTTGTTGACGTTTCTAATTATAGCGTTTCCGAACTTGTTTCTAATTATAGCATTTCCGAACTTTTCCGTATGCAAATGAGTTAATTCCGAATGAAACCGATCGGGCCCGAGAGCTTTTACAAATGGCGGGGATTTCAAAAACTGGCGATATTATATCCAATTGCATCCGAGTGTTTCGGCGAAATAAGATTAAAATTGTATAGCAGTTCATCATTAATGAGGATATACTTATGATTTAGGTGATAATTTCTGAAAACTAAGTTGTAGGGTAAAATATCATCGTTGAACGGTATTATAACTTTAAAGTAAAGTTCAAAAACGAAATAACTCTTGAAAAAAGATACTAGAGTTATGAACATTGTCATATGCATGATGTAATGACAAAGAAAAAAATATTTATCTTAAGTCTCGATTAGATAATAACAAAGATAATAATAGAAAAATCAAAACTACAAATGAATTCTAAGTTCAACTAGAACTCCGCGAGTCAGATGTGTCGCCTTATGAACAATATACTTTAGGAGAAATGGCCAGGACAAAAATGAAATATGAAAACTAACAAAGGGCAAACTCAAAAAATAATAGATTCACAGCAGCAGTTTCCTTGCACTGCACTTCTTATCAATGAGATCAATCATTCTATGAAATTTCAAGAACATATCTTTTATAATTTATGAGAAATGGCCTGGACAAAAATAAAGTATGAAAATTAATAAAGGGTAATAACTCAAAAATAAGAAATGCAGAGTACCTGTTCTCGTACACTGCACTTATTTTTAAAAAGTAAGACCTTTCATCGTCCATAGCTTTCATACTTGAGGAGAAATGACCGGTACAAAAATAAATATGAAAATTAACAAAGGGCAATAACCCAAAAAAAATAAAAATGAAGAGTACCAGTTCTTGTGCACTGCACTTCTTCTTAATCAGATCTATCATCCTAAGTTTCATGTCCATAGCTTTTATACATTAGGAAAAATGGCCCTGACAAAAATAAAGTATGAAAATTAACAAAGGGAAATACTCAAAAAATAAAAATCAGAGTACCAGTTCTTGTGCACTGCACTTCTTCTTAATCAGATCTATCATCCTATGAAGTTTCAAGTCCATAGCTTTTATAGTTGAAGAGAAATGACCCGGACAAAATTAAAGTATGAAAATTTACAAAGGGCAATAACTCAATAATTAAGAAGTGCAGTTTGGAGCATGCATACCAAGTTTGAAGTTAATCTGACTTATGACTGAGTTATGCTCTGGACAAGCTTTAGGGGACGCCGACAACGACGCAGCCGACAAAAGTAACCCCTATATGTCGCCTTTTTAAGGCGACACAAAAATTATAGGAATACGCAGCTTGTGTTTTATAACTCTTATCCATATGACAAGAAGTTATAGTAAAAAAATATCATGCTAGAGTTATGAACTTGGTCACACAACATTTGTGTAATGAAAAAGAAATATATATTTGAAGTTTGAAGAAGATAACGGAGTTATAATATTTCTTATAGAAAATTATAAGTTCAAAGGGAGATAAATCTGAAAATATTGCTTCAAGAGTTATGAACAGGGAAAAAGAATTTGAAGTTTGGAGTAGATACCTTTAAAACTTAGAAAGTTATAGAAAAAAACTAGAAATGTGTCATCATGCCACGGATGCCCCGCATGCAGCCAAAATTTCAGATGTTATAATATTTAGTTCCAAATTTGTTTGCACAAATTATTTTTTTCATTTGCAGTTCAAAGCCCATAATACTTTTCAATGTTAACACAAACCATTTTCATACAATGTTCAAAGCACTGAAATTATTCAGTCTTAACCTTTTGAAAATATTAGCATATTTCATATTTGTAGCCAAAATAATGGCTACATACATTTCCACAAAAGTATGAGTGCTGAAACTGAAAGTTCAAAATTTTTCCAACATTCAAGAAAGATAAGTTTGTCCAAAATCATTGAACCACGACCAAATTCAAACTTTCCACAAAAGTATGAGTGCTGAAACTGAAAGTTCAAAATTTTTCCAACATTCAAGAAAGATAAGTTTGTCCAAAATCATTGAACCATGACCAAATTCAAACTTAAACTGCTTATTCCTAAGATGCATCTATATTATTTTCAAAGTGAAAGGGACATAACTCTGCCAAAAAAATCATCGAACCATGACCAAATTCCAACTTGACCTGCCCATTCCTTTGACATATCCATATGTCAAATTTGAGTTGAATATGTAACACT